ATCGACGTGAGATTCGCCACGGTGTTGATGAACGCAAAGGTGTCGAAGTCAAGCGCGAAGATCGACACCCATGCAAAGATGGAGAAGAGAAAGCCAAGACCAAAGCACACACCGAAGCCCATGAGGCGCTGCTCAAAGCTGAGCGAGGGGCACATGCTCTCTCCCGCTTCCTCCTCCTGTGCGTCGCCCTGGCCGCCGGTGAGCGGCACACTGGAGGCCGCGCTGTACAAACCGTCCACATTGACGTACGTCGACATGTGTCACCGCTACAACTGGAGTCTCCCCCTCTCTTTCTCTGTCGCTGGTGCAATTCAAGTACCTCGCTAGCGACACACACACACACTGTGTAAGAGCCAATATGTAAAGCACAAGAAGGCGGGTGTTGGTGGGGATGCTGATCTGCACAACGGAGGCGCGGCATTCAATTGTTTGCGCCGTGTGCCAAGAAACATAGACGATGGCACAAGAGACAACAATCCACACACACACACACTCACTCACACATTCACACACACACACACACACACACACAGTAAACCCCATGTGCACAGTTCCAAGACCATCACCATCTCCACGACCGACAATCACCAGAAGAAACCCTCTTTTTTCCACTTTCTCTTTTCTTCTTATGGGCGGTGGCAATATATATATATATTTACCGCGTACTCGACTGCCGCGCCCGTGCCCGCACCGCCTCCTCCTGCTGCCGCTGCGGAATCGTCAGCAGTATGTTCCGCGCCACCTCCATAATGTGTTTGAAGCGGTCCGGGCCGAGGAGGATGCCACCGAACCAGCGCGTCACGACGACCACGTAGCCGTCCACGTTCATCTGCTCCAGCAGGAACATGATGCGCCCGGCGGCACCCGTCTCGCCGTCGTCGTCGTAGTCGTGGTGCAGCACGCCACTGCTGTCGGTGAAGCGGTAGGCGTAGATGGTCGGGTGCGCCGCCTCCGCGATGTGTCTCTGCTGCCGAAGATGCAGCACTACCGCACGCACCATCTCCTCCGAGTCCACACGGGCCATNTGCGCGACGAACTTGGACTTGCGGTCGGCGATGGCGTCGCTGGCCCACACCTGCACTGCCCGCGCCTCCCGCGCTGCCGCTTCTGCGAGCTGCGTCTGCGCCTCCTCCCGTGCGTGCGTCTCCGTCTCCGTCGCCGCGGCGTCGCGCGCCTTCTGCAGCTGTGCAGCGAGGTCCTGCGCGAGGATGACCACCTGCAGCAGCATTGGGCCGCCCAGCGGCACCTCGTCGCGGACGGCCCGCGTCAACTGTGTGGCGAATTCACTGATGAGTGGCGCGTTCGGCCCCGCCACAACAAACAGCGACGGGTGCGACGTCTCCGGGTAGCCGTGCGGCGGGATGGTGATGTGCAGCACAAAGCGGAACGCCAGCGTCACGACGAGGGTCGCCGCGTCCGTGGGGTGCCGGCTGATCTCGTCGGTGAACATGGACACCAGCATCTCCAACTCCTCGGCGTGTTCTTCCTGCATTGTGGCGGAGTGGCCCCCCCCTTCTCCCACGGCAGTGCGTTGGAGGCAGACCCCTACCAGCACACCCGCCCCCCCCCTTTCCTTTGTCCCACCAACGCGAAAGTGGGGAGTTCCAACAAGAATGGAAGACAAAATGAGGAAAAGAAAAAAAAAGGAATGTGAAATAGAGAAAGAGAGAAGGACGGAGGGAGGCAGGGAGAAAAGCACACAGAAAGGAAGAAGCATCATCTGGGAGATGCGGAATTCACGTTTAAACAATTGAAGATGGCATGGAAGGGGCAGCAGGCGGCTTTATTTCCTTTTGTTTATCCTTCCTCCCAAGAGAGAGAAATAGGGAGAGAGAGAGAGAGAGAGCGGATACCACCTGCGGCGCAATGCTCCTTTCTCATGTGCCTGAACCCTTTGCCGCCTCCGTCCGTGTGCTTTGAATCAGCAGCGAGTCAAGAGACAAACGCGAAGGGCGACTCTCTGTAAGCGCGCTTGCGCACGCATGTAAGTATGTGCGTTCGTGGGTCCGTTGGGAATGAGTTAGGTACCATTGTTCGCCCTGCCCGCTCCCGTCCTTTCCTGTGCCGTCGTATTACTATCATACTCAAGTGTGTATGTGCATGTGTGTGTGTGAGAGAGAGAGAGGTGGGATGTGCGGCGTTGACGGCTGGCTATTCCTTGTTCTCCGCCTTCTGGCTCTCCTCGAGGATGGTGTCAAGCTTGCTGTCGATATCCAGCACCGTGGAGGAGAGGTGACCGAGCACCGTCGACACTTCGCTGCGAAACGTTGCCTCTGCCGCCATCAGCTGCTGCATTTCGCCCACCTGCCGCTCAAGAGCCGTCTGCTTATGGAGCAGCTGGTCTACCTTGTNGCCTCTGCCGCCATCAGCTGCTGCATTTCGCCCACCTGCCGCTCAAGAGCCGTCTGCTTATGGAGCAGCTGGTCTACCTTGTTTTCGAGTTCTACCAACCTGTCGCCCGCGAGAGCCGTCCTGGCCGACGGCAGGGGCTCTTCCATCGGCTTCGCTGCTGGTGCTCTTACTGTTGGTGTTGGTGCTGGCGCTGTCGTCGCCCCCGCATGCGGCGGGGCGGGTGTCACGAGCGGCTCCGGCACCGGCAGCTGGTTATAGATGTACCACGCACGCTTCATGCCATACTCGGTGCGACTAGGCTGGTGGTTGCAGCGCGGCAGCAGGTTGCGCGTTGTGATGCTGACGCGGTGCTCCCTCCGCACCTCTGTAACGTCCTTATCCTTCAGCAGGTGGCGGTTCACCACTTCCCCCGCGAGCTCGGGCGTCAGCACGTCGATGGCGCGGTCAGAGGTGCCATGTGGGTAGTAGTGATACGCCTCACCGCGGAACAACAGCAGCGAGCGTGGCTCCAGCACGACGGATTGTATCGGCCGCTCCGTCGAAATGCCTTCGGTGAAGCGGAAGGTGTCGTTGTAGTGCTCCATTGGCTGTGTGTGCGGCTCCCGCCGCGCGTAGAAGAACATGACGCACGGCGAACTGAGTGACAGGACAGAAACGACTGGGAAGTAAATAGGGCCGTCGCAGTGTGCGGCGATGCCTTCACCGACACTGTACTCATGCACGCGAACGCTGTTGGGGAACGTGCTCGGGGTGAAGATGCCGTCGTGCAGCAGCATGTCATTGCACGCATCCACCCACGGCGGCATGTTTCGGTCTGCCACAAAACTCTTATTGCACACATCACACATGGTGCATCCCCACTCCTGTGCTGTTCGTTTGGTGAGGTGCGTCTTGAGTTCGTTCGGCGTGTCCCGCACGAGATCTAATATTTGCTCCTCTTCCTCCTCTGAAATGTAGTTGGGAATGTAATAGATATCAGGAACACTCCCCACACGGTACTGATCCAGAGACATGTGATACGGAGCAGCAAGAGAGGCGGTGTTGCCTCCGGCATCACTATTACCACTGCTATTGCTCGTCTCTCGCGCAGCCTGCATCCGCTTGATGTGTGATGTGAGTTTCAGCGGCTTGGGGAACACCTGCTCGAAGATCTGCTTCAGTTCCGCCTTTGGCTCCCACGGCTTCGCGTTCGTGGCAGGGTCCCACGGGGAGAGTTTCGCCGCGTTGAAGTTGCCGCTCTTGCCATCCTTCTTCCGCCACGTGGCGACGAGCGAGAACGTCGCGTAGTCGCCGGCGCTGGCGTGCACGCGTTTCACGAGGCCCGTCACCTCCACCGCGCTGGTTGTGGATGGCGGCTGCACCGCCGTCACGGGGTACGTGTAGGACTCCAGCTGCAGCGTGAAGGCGATGCCCGTCGCGCACGCGTCGGCGACGTCGATGCGGCCGACGCCGAAGCCGAGGCCGTTGGCCGGTCGCAGGTACACCATCCTGTCGTGGTCGATGAACAGCTCCCCCTGTAGCTCCTCCGTCAGCACGAGCCACGGGCCATACATGTCCCGCACGAAGTCAAGGCGCGTCACGGGACTCGTCTGCAGGTCCTGCACGAGCTCGGCGGCGTCCATGTCCTTCGTGCCATCCACGGAGAAGTTGGGGGTGGAGAACTGAAAGCCCGACGTCTTCATGGCCTCCTCCACGTTGCCGAAACTGCTGCTGGTGCTGTTGCTGCTGTTGTGCCGCAGTGCACAGCTAGCTGTACGCCAGTGGGCCTTGCGAGGAACAGCACTGCTACCACCACCACCACCACCACCAACAACAGCAGCAGCAGCAGCAGCAGCAGAAGAAGTGAGGATTGGCAACAGATGGTAGCGACGCATTTCGGGATATGTTTCGCCTCAGCAGTTCGTTGTTTTGAAACAACTAACGAAACCAATCCAAAAAAAAAAAAAGATCTATCATCATGAGCAGTGGAAGCCATAGAAACAGCGACAAGAGCCACAGCAGCAACGACACAATGAACGAAAACAGACAAAACATCTCGGACAGGCACGCATTGTCAATGGTACAGAGCCGCATACAGGGAAAAAGAAACGCACATATAACAAAAATAGACCATAAACGATGAAGCATTTTACAAAAAAGCTCACTTGGGGCTTAGGTGTCCATCCCTTTAACCTCTACAGAGAGCCGTTGGGTTTACTTTTCACACATTGACTGTTCCTCATAACTATCCACTTCAGCAGCATTCACCTTGGCACCACCACTGCCGACTTTTATCGCGTGCGCGGCACAAGACGGTGGAGAATCTGGTAAAGCGTTGACTACTCCAAAACGTCGTTGCAGCGCTCGTTTCCAATCACGCAGCGATAGGTTCCACTTCCCAAATGCCACATCACGCTCATACAGCGTGTAGTGTAGATCCAACAGGGAATGCGGCTCGTGATCAGCCAGAAGGTGACGGATTTGCTCTTCATAGTAGCGGATGTACGCACGATCCACCGCCACATGCTTTTCCACCTGGGCACTACTTAACTGTAGCCAGGATGGAACTTGCTCGAGTACGGGAAGGCGTACGCTTAAAGTAATTTCACCAATAACGTCGTTGCAGGGAAATCCCACATCGACGACACTTGGTTGTTGTTGTAGAATCGACTGCTGCTGCAGTGTTTTTCTCACAGGAGATTCCTGCATTAATGCCACCAGTGGCAATGTTATACGCTCAGAAGCGTCGTAGAGACTTGGTGTGAGCAGCGCTCGAAGGGAGACCACCACACGGCCAAACTCAGCCGCTTGAGAGGAGGTTTGATGAATGGTGTGACGCGAAGATGTGGCACGGCTACTGCGCGATGTGGAGCGCGATTTCACCTTACCCGAACGAGACAAGGAGCCCGAGGCCGCGGCCTGGCGCTTGACGGTTATCACGAGCTCGTGGTGTCCGCGCCTGCCAACATCTGGGATGTCAAGTCGAACGACGGCGCCCTGTCTTTCTTCTGGCGCAGACCAAATGATAGAAGCTTCCTCACGGTCACAGTTCACCGTCACTGTTTGCGTCTGCTCGCCATGAGTCCCCCCTTCATCCCAATCCCTCTGCTGTTGCTGTCGTGCGTCAGGACGGTTGATGCAGAGTGAATCGATGCAAACGTAGACGGTGGCGGCAACAGGGCGTGTGGCGACGCGACTCCGTATTTCCGCGTGCGCAGTCTCCAGGTTGCTCGTCTCCGTCATAATGGGCTGAAGGAGCGGCAGCGCCCTCGGCCTGTATTTGCGGAGCAGCGAGGCAACGTCATTTTCGACGTCTTCGCACGCCCTCACAACCTCTGCCGCCTCGCGATGGATGAAGCCGTCGGACTTGAGTACCACACCTAGACGCCCAATCAAGCCACCGTCAGAGTCGAAGAGCGGAACCCAGCACTCATTCGCCGTCCCCGCCACCATGTTCCGCAGACGTATTTCGGCAAATGACATGGTGATCGACTGCAGATAGCGGTGCTGCGCCACCTTGAAGCGTAGCCGTGAGTGCTGAGGGTCATAGAGCTCCACCGTCACCGAGTTCTTGACGTCGTTTGCTGCAAATGTGATGTGCGTGGCGCCGTCATGCTGCGATGTGCGGAGCACCGCCTCCCCGTCCAGGTACACCTTCACATAGCAGCCACTGGCGGGCGCAAAGTCGCGAATGCCGATGATGCGTATTTCCATCGGCGACGATATCACATCCGGGCCGTACTGCTGCTCCAGCTCACGCACGAGTTCCCCTTCGCGTCCTGCGTAATCTACGAGGAGGGACTCCGTGCGGTGAAGCTGCTCTGGGGCGTAGCGGTACAACAGCCGCTGCACACGCTCTCGGAACGCGGTGGGCCCTTTGCTCAAAATAGGAACCCCGCCAAAGTTCACCGCGAAGAGTCTCACCTGCACCAGTCCTTTGAAGTGAGCATCACTACTGCCGGCATGACGCACAAGCGGGAGAGTGAGTACCGTCTCTGTCTTCCGCGCCAGCGTGCGGAGCGAGAGAACAGCCAGACCCATTTCTGCATCTTCGGTCCCAGCGAATCCTTTGCTGACAACAGCAATGACGAGTTCGTCTCGCTCCGGTAGAATACCTTGGAGGGTCACGGTATGATTAAATTCACCCACACCAGTGTTGCTGGTGCGCACAATGCCCGTTGCGCAATGATGCAGCCCTGCCTGAACAACGGCATACACTATGGCCCGTTTTGAGAAGCCAGTGCCGCTTGACGCGGATCCGAGATCTATGACTGTTGCTGTTGCTGCTGACGCTTCTGTTGGGCTGTCCCACTCGGGAGCCGACGCCTCCCACCGATTAACCGTCACGCGCAGGTTACAGTAGGGTGGTTCCGGTCCGATCGTCTTCATGTAGCGATCCAAGTTATGCACCGATGTGGCGATTACGTCCAATCTGTGCAGCGCACTGCGGCGGTGCTTCCAGAGAAACAAACGTAATCGTTCTATGCGTTTCGAAGTCTCCGCGTGATCAAAGTGAACGCGCGGGCGGCGGCGGCGGCGGCGATCACGCCCACCACTACTGCTGTAACTATTCTTGCTCGTCTCCCTTGAAGAGATGTTACTGAGCAGCGCGAGGGTGATTGAGCCGCATGGCGTCGCTTCACTCGTGCCGGCTGCACGTACAAGTGTGTGCGTGCGAATGCCTTCCTGTAGTGCCGCAACGACGAGTACCTCGCCCACCTTCGCGGCAGCGGCAAACACCATGACGCGAATCGCCACCTCTGCCCCAATAGGGAATTGAAAGGACTGGTTGAACACCGCTGTCTGTTGGAGAGGCACGACACGTGTACAGCAAGACGTGCCGTTAGCCTCCAGACGAACGTGGCACGCGGGTCTGTTGAGCAGCGGCACTCCCATTGCTGTTGTCAGACCCCGCACATCCACCACCGTCGCGGTGACGATCTCCTGCCGGTTGCGCTTGTAGCGCGCAAGCACCGCATCGATCTCGCGCGGAGTCTTGCTGCTGCAGTTCCCGACNGAGCCACTCGAGACGATGCAAGTCACGGCGGCCGGCTGCTATCAGTACGTGGCGGATGCGGCGCCGCAGCGACTCCTCCGCTTCGACTGGGAGGGGGGCGCCAGGCCGCGCGTTGAGGCCGCCGCCGCGTAACGTGAGGCACACTTCGCCGCACACATGCGCGTCGCTTCTGCCAAACTTCCGCACCAGCGCCACTCGCCGCGTTTGCGGCGCCGACCCGTGCAAGTTACGCAACGAGATGATGGCCATACCGAAGCGTCGCACTTTCCCAGAGGCTGTCTGCAGAACCGCCGTGATGCTCATGGCGTTTCCCTGTGGTCCCTCGAAGCAGACTTGCTCGCTGTGGAAGACGGGATTTCTTGTGAAGGCCACAAGCGCCGTTTGCGCCCGAGCGGCAGAGGTGCGGAGGAGAATGAAGAGATGATGCCTCGTCGTGTGCTGCGTTGTCAAGTGGCGGCACGCTAGGACATCTACCTGCAGGAAGTCCACTGTGCGTGGCTGTTGTTTTTGCTGTTCAGGAACCTGTTGTGTTGGCTGCTGCTGCTTCTGCGGTGCCTGCTGTGGTGGCTGTCTTGTGCACTGATGGCACGGCGCAGCATTCGTTGGCTGTTCCTCATCCTCCACGTCTAACCAACTGTCCTGCTCAACGAGGGCCCTTGTTGCTGTTGTTGTTGCAGCTGCCGGTTGTGGTTTTGGTAGGGGTGGTGGTTCCGGTACAGGCGCTGTTGCAGCGACGGGTGATTCCTCTATGGTAACGTTGAGGGAAGGGTTCAGTCGTGCAACTGGAGATGCTCGTCGAAAAGGAGCCCCCGCCGCCTTTGTTGTCGTTGCTGTTGTTGTTGTGATTGTTGTCATCGTAGTCGCTGTTGCTACTAGCGGAGCTGTGGAGGACGAGTACGGCTCAAATATTTCTTCAAGCTCCTCAAACGTCATATCAAAGTCGTCATTTCCAGCAAGATTGGTCTGGATGCGGAAACTCTGGTCCAATGAAATAGATTCTTCCAATGTCAGAATGTCAGTAAACACGGTGGGATCTTTCTTTTCGTTGGCCATATCGTTCTTGTTGTTGTCTTTATCAAATGGAATACATGCAACGGCTGTCCGTTGCGCGGTGGTAGCACCGGTGGCCATGGTGGTGCGCTGCGAGTCCTCGCAAACCTGCCGCACCCACGCCATGCGTGTGCAATGCTCCTGAATCGTCGCCATCTCAAGCCGCTGCTCCGAGGCGCAGCTGGAGTCAATACATACAATGTGGTGCACCTGCACGTGGTTATCCGATGCTGCTTCGGTGATGGCGACATACCCGAAGGCGTACACCACCTGCCGCTCGTACCCCTCGCAAAGGGGGCGGTGACTACAATGAAGGGCATTCTGCACGTACACCATCCCACTGTCGCCACGCAACGGCAGCGGCAGAAGCTGCTCTTCGCGTGCCTCCTCGTGCAGAAGGAGAGCCGTGACCGAGAACATGCAGAAGTCGCGCTTCGGCGTGTGTGTGGCGAGCTGCTTGCACCGCGCGTACACCACCTCACCCTCATCCTCCGAGTCTATGATTGTTATGTTGTCCACAAAGGCGTCGTAGCGGTGCGTCTGCAGCGGGTCCCCGACGAGGCGAAAGAACGTCGCGAGGGAGCACGCAATAGAGGTGGAGACGCGGTACGCCTTGAGCAGGGAGGGCGCGGCGAGACACTGGCGCGCCTCACACTCCTCCACCTTGCAGCCTTCCTGAACCAGCACGAAGCGCCATGTTGCGGCGGCGTGCAGCTTCAGTAGCGGCCGCAGCACACGCCGCCGCGCCGGCGTGAGACTGCCGGGGGCGTACGGGTTGTGCTCGATGTGGAACGACGGCTCTCGTGGCTCGGGGGAGCTCACGGCGGTGCTCGCCTCCGCCAACTGCTGCTGCAGCGCCAGCGTTCCCCGCAGCATCATCCGCTGCAGCATCTCACACAGGTCCCGCATCCGCGCGATCTTCTCCTCACACCACCCGAGTACAGACGCGGCGTGAACACCAGGTGCGTGCACGAAGGAAAGCTGCACGCACGGGCCAGGCATCTCGTAGGCGACGAATGCGGAGAGGTGCACCCACCCGCGCACGTAGTCACAGGTGGGAGGCGCCCGCGTGTGGGCGACGCTGCGGATGGCGTACACATACACCTGCGACGCCAGCAGATCAGACGCGCCGTTGCAGCATGCGCTGCCGTGTCGCCGGCGCGCGGCGCTACTGACGAAGCGCCGCAATGGCTCGTTCGAATTGAGACGCTCGGGGAGGTGGAACGCGACGCAGCGATGCAGCGTGACCAGATCGAGTGGCGGAAGGCGGTCGTACGCGGTGTGCATCCACAGCGCATCGCCGCGTTCGTCGATAACGTCACACAACAGGACGCCGTCCTCATAGTACTGCACGTTCTGCGGCGTGGTAATGAAGGCAGTAAATGCCTGCATACTGCAACTTATCTTCGTAACCACCTTGGTCACGGTGCAGGTCTCCGCTGTCGCATGCCCGTTTATATGGTTGCCCTTGTGGACGTTCGTTTTGGTTTTGTTTTCACCGCCGCCACTGCTACTGCTGCTGCTGTTGCTATTCCTGGAGCCGCCTACGTCGCTGCAGCGCGGCGCAGGAAAGACGTACGGCATGGTGTACACTTTGCATTGCGCGGCATGGCTCTTTGCCTGGTCCCAGCGGTCCCCCTCCGCGCACAGCAGCAGCGCCTCCCTCACGGCCCACTCGCTGTCAACGCTGCACATTGCATCAACGGGATGTAGGGCTAACAGGAACGCCAACTTCACAGAGTAAAACCTGCAACTACTAGTGTCTTCGTTGGGCTGTGCATTAAAGACCAAAACAAGCAAGCAAACCAAAGAAAAAAAAACACAGAAGGAGCGGTCAAGGGGGATGTTTTCCATGCACTCTGTGTGTTTGCCCTGAGTGGGCTGCAAAGGGGGCAGAAACGACTGCGAATACAGCAGTGGGCATAACACTACACAACACAACTCCCTCCTCTGTGATTGAGCAACAGAAGCAGAAACAACAGGCACGCATAGGCCCCAGAGAAACTGAAATGCGTCAAGCTGCCGGTTTCCTTCCGGCAAAACGGGCGTAGTTTGAGTAAGACCGCCCCACTTTGGACGCCGCCCTCGTCCAGGACGGCACCTGCTGCTGCTGCTGCTCCTCCCGCAGGAGGCGTGCGTGGCGGCCCTTTTCCTCCAGGCTCATCTCGGCGAAGTACGCCGGCACCTCCCAATCCGGAACAGTCGGCTCCCACTCCTTCTTCCGTCGGTCCTCCGTGCCGGGGCGCTGCTGCTGCTGCTGCTGCTGCCGCAACGCCGTGTGGAACTCATCTCCAGCACCAAAGATGCGCTCCGTTGTGTTGGCCCCGCCAGTTGTCGCGCCCTTCCGCTGCTGCTTCTGGCGTTTTTCGTGTCGCAGCACATACTGAATGCGCTGCTTGAACTGTGCGTTGTGAAGGCGCCGCTCCACAAACGTGGGGGGCTTCCCTAATGTCCGTGCGACTTGCCGAACGGTGGCCCCGCCGCGGATCATGCGGTAGATCGTCGTGTCCTCCTCAAAAGAGAAGAACTTGCTATGGCTGAACGGGTGGTTCGCTGGATTCTTCAGCTCCTCCTCGCTCACGCCGTTCAGACCAAAGGCGGAGTTCATCATGGTGTCCCACTCCAACGTGGACTTCATGCTCCATTTGTCGCCATCCGCAAAGTCGTCCGGCACGCGGCGACGCCGCAGTCCCGCCTTGGGCGTAAAGCGCGACCCCCCATCTGTCTTTCTGCTGCTGCTGCTATTGCCGTTCTTTTCCTCCGTATCGGCTCCCGAGTTCTCCGCAGGACGCGCGCTCAGCACCCCGCTGCGTTGCAGCAGCTCGTAGGCGGTGTTGACGACCGTCATCTTGTGGTCATCGCCGCTGCTGAGGTCGGGGTGGTGCAGGCGGGCAAGGCGCAGGTACTGCGACCGCACCCCCTCGCTGGTGGCGTGCTGCGGGTTGCCCGCATCGAGCCCAAGCA